ATAATAATAATATTAATAATAATAATATTACTAATAATAATAATAAAAAGAAAAGCTTTGGAAGAGGAAGAGGAGGGATTATACGCGTGTCGGCTGAAATCTACGAATATCGTGGATTTAACAAACGCACGGTCGAGCGCGTGTGGAAATGCTGGGACGTTAGACGGTATGCCGCGAGCCTGCTCATCGGCCGAAATACTGCACGGTGCTTCGGAATCGTCCGAGCTCCGAAAAGGATCGCGATGAGAAGAGGAGGAAGACGACGTATTCGCGATGGCGACGACGATGACGACGATGACGACGATGACGATGACGACGATGACGACGATGACGACGAGGGGAAAAGCGATCGTCGACGGGGGAACGCGAGTGTACAAAAGGTTGTACGGTGGTGCGTTTGCTCGGCGCACGCGCAAATCGGTATCGTTCGGCGCGATCGACAAACGGTGACTAGCTGAGAATTTCGCGAAGCGGTCGCTCGCGAATCCGCTTCCATCCGACAACGAACGGCGGACAGAGAGCGAGGAAAAAAGGGAGGGCGCAAACGATCGTTTTCTCGCCATCGATCGCGATCTTCGTCGGTGACTGCTACTCGGATTCGGACTCTTCTCTCCCTCTCTCTCTCTCTCACTCACACACTCACTCACTCACACACACACACACACACACACGCGCGGACGCGCACACACTCGCTTTATCGTACTCTCTCGTTCGCTTTCGTACAAACACAGACGCGCGCGCGCGCACACACTCGGGACACGCACACCCTCTACTCTCGGCTCGATGCCCGAGAGAAAGGACGAAGAAGGGACGCGATCAAGGAAAACGCGGACCGAGCGAGGCCCCGGCACTGGAGAACTGGTCCCAACCGGTTCGACATCTGGTCGATTTTCGCCAGTGCGGCAGCTGAATGCCCAACCTCTTGCACTCGTGCGCGTACGCGGTAAACGATTCGCAGTAGCAGTTCTCGGTCGGACACTCGCACATGTCCTGCAGGCAAGCCTTGTAGTACATGGTCGGGTTCACCTTCTTGTGGCAAGCGTCGAAGATCTGCGATCTCAGCCTGTTGCACAACCTGCGTGCATCGATGTCGCCGTTATTAGAAAGATAGCACACCACCGGCATCTACGTACGTACGCGCGCGCGCGCGCGCGCGTGTGTGTGTGTGTGTGTGTGTGTGTGAGAGAGAGTATCATATGTGTATACATATGCGTATGGAGAGGAAGAAATCGATTCTCGCGTTGGACGGAACGCGACGACTTACCGGTGATCCTTTCGTTTTCTGCAACGCCTGTTCCGATCCAGATTCGCGATCGGCTTCGTTCTTAGGCAGCTTCTTTTCGTTCCGACCAGCCAGGACTGACCGAACGGCTGAGGATCCTGCAACAGTCTGCCCCGACGATTGGTAAAGTCGTCCTTAGGCAGGGAATTAAAGTTGCCGCAGAGACCGCAGAGCCGTCCCCTGTACGAAGTTGGCGCGGATACTTCGAGAAAACTGATCCCGTCCCAGAGAACCTTGATTCCGATCTGCGTGCTCACGATTATGCTATCCGCCGTTCGATTCACGTCTAGCCGGTTCGCCACGCGATACGGTATCTCCACCTTCTTCCCGTTTACCTTCACTCGCATCTTCTGACCGAGATTCACCTTCAAATCGCCCACCTACGATCACCGCGGACAAAACAGAGAGATCAGTATCGGTGCAGAGTGGATAGCGGCGGGCTACCGGTGCTTACCTTGATCGCGATGGTTTTCGTCCAAGCGGAGGATTTCGTCGACCTGGCATCGTTGGTCACTCGAACGCTGAACGTGTGTCCCGAGCAATCGCTGGCCAACTGGTACTTGCAGGCTCCCTTGAAGCTGTAAAATTTGCCGTCAAAGGTGCGGTAGTGCGGATCCCCGAACACCGTGCACACACCGTCACCTGTACACACGCGAACAACGCGAGGGAACGATGATAAAGTATGGACGAAAATTTAGACGATAGTTTACACGGTTCAGACTGCTGCTGCTTACTTTCGACGCAACGAGGACAGCACTGGCCTTCCGGATGTTCCAGCCTCGAGTTGGGTGGACAGGGCAAATTCAACGGTGGACACATGGGCATCGCGCATCGTACTTTACCTTGCATGCAGGCGCATGCCTTGCACGAGTCAAGCTTCCAAGTTTCGCCATCCTGCCTAGGACAAAACAGAACCTTTAAATCCTCGAACGAGAAAAATCCGCACTCACGGATTGTTCCGGACCCGGTGTTCCACGTATGGGTACCGCGATCCTATCGGGATAAATACTCGCCCCGTAAGTTTTGCCGGCATAGGTGCAAGACGGCCGAGCCTCCTCGACCTCGGGACACTGGGGACAGCAACGACCCGGTAGAGAGATCTGGTGTTCGGCGGGACAATCGTGCACGGGACAGGTCTCTCGGACGCAGGAGACGGCGGAATTGGAGCAGCTGCATCGCGTGCACTGATCCAAATAGAACTGATTGCCGGAGTTGTAGACACCCATTCCCAGCATGCACGCACCTTTCGGCGGTGTCAAGAATCTTCCGCTGCCTGTTCGCGCGACCGCGCGCAAACAACGATTAGAGCGAGGAGCAAACCGAGCGGCCCCGTTTACAACGAAAGTGCTCTACCATACCTTTGCAACGTGGACAACATTCGCCGGGATCGTGGACGATTCTCGAGACAGGACAATGCATCACCGGGCAAGCCTGTTTCGCGCAGGTCAGCCGGCCAGAGTTGCATCTGCAAGTCACGCAGGGGTCCTCGGTCGTGGTCACCGATCTGTCCGCCGTCACCATTTGCCCGTTCACGTGGCATCCTGCGAAACGGCAGACAGAGAGGACGATCGCGTGTTCCGTCTACGCTCCGTCTCGAGTTTACTTACCGGCGCACATCGGGCAACACTGACCCGGTGCTGGCGGTATAGGATTCGCGCAAGGCGTGTAGCAGTGCAATCGGGACTCGGTGATTACCCCGGCTTTGCAGGTGAAGATCCTGCACGGCTCGTTCCCCTCGGTCCATTCGGTATCCGATCCATGGTACACTCCGTTCCGCGTGCAACCTTTCCACGGTAATGAAACAGAGCAAGGACTTTTGGAAACTGTCAAGACGGAAAAAGAAAGAAAGAAAGATAGAGAGAGCGAGAGGCGATTTATCATGAATCGTTGCGCCATCGGGTGTTTGGAAGAATTTTCCCGATGACGCGCGATGTGGTGGTTTTATCTGATTTATCGGAAAAGTACCACCCCGTGGCGGTACACGCGACGACGAGAGGAGGAATTTGGCGAACAGAAGAGCGATCGTGCCGCGGTGACGGCTATAGCATCGTCGCGGGAGACGTGGGCTGGTGCGCGCGCGCGCGCCTGCGATTAGCAGACGAGAAAGATAAGCTCGGCCTCGGCCGAACGAAACAACGTCTGTCGACCGATGCTCGTTGCCGGTGTAAACAGTCGACCGCGGCGATGCCCAAGTTCCCCGGGTTTATCGGCGTATCGACGTATCGACGAACAGAAGCGTCTTTGTACCCCGGGAACAATGCTCCGCCCCGGACATTCCACTCGCTTCAACTCGCTTCAACTCGCTTCAACTCGCTTCAACTCGCTTCAACTCGCGCCTTCTCTTGCTCTCTTCTTCTCCTGCTATCTATCTCTCTTAAACCCGCGCGTGACCCCGCTTTCTCTCTCTCTCTCTCTCTCTCTCCGAGAGAGTAAAGCGTGTGGTGCGAAGATGGAAGAAAATTAGAGCGATTCGAACGATTAGCGCTGGAACGATCCCGTTCTTCTCTCATCCTCGCGTACCTTTACACCTGTGACAGCACTCGTCCTCGCGTGGCTCCAGCAACGTGTAGCAACCCTCGATGCTCGGGCATTGCTGCTTCCTGCACTCGACGAAACCGTTCTGCGAAACAGAAGAAACAGGTGGATAATTTTGCGCTCGATCGAGGGCCGATCCCGCGACTCTGGCTCGCCACTATCGTCCGACTTCCCCGGCGTAATTATTTCTCTCTCTCTCTCTCTCTCTCTCTCTCTCTCTCTCTCTCTCTCTCTCTCTCTCCCCCTCTCGCGCGCGCCTCTTATCGCGGCCTATAATTAAACCTTTGGGGTTTATCTAGCGTTGGAATTACGTAAAGCAATTTAACGCGGGTCACACGGGTGGTCTGGAGCGTATAAGCGAGAACGCGCGAGAAGGTCGCGAGCGTCTCTCGAAAACAAGGAAGATTACTCCGCGATCGCGGAACGTAAACGAGCGTGGTTGGCGATCGTGGAACGGGACACACCGTTCGCCAGTTAGTCCTGCTTCGTGCATCTCGCGTACCTCGAGTACCTCGAGTACACACGTCCGCCAGCTGCCAGGGGTGGTGGTTTCCTGCACACGCGTTCACGCGTCGCGATGCCAAAGAAACGAGGAACGATTGGAACGGCGCAGAGAGAGTCAACGAACCGAACGCGTCCCGAGATAATGGTCGTTTCGCCGACAGTTGCAACAACATCGCATCGTCGGACGCCGTTTGGAGGAATCCTCGCGTCCGATAGCCGGCAGCGATAAGCCGAGAGAGTTCGGAGACGACGACGTCGTCGCTAAGAAGCCGAGAATTCTCGATATCGCACGTTCTCGATCCCTTTTTCCTCGATCGACTCACCTTGCACAAGCAATTGAAACACCTGGTGTTGGGAATCTTGTCGACGGTGAAGTCTTCTCCCTCGACGTCGCAGGTCTCTCGGCTTCCTGCAAGCAGAGGCCGCGAACGGCAGGTAACGTACGCGGAAGGGTCTCGATCGATCTCGATATCGATCGCATCGGTGAATAATCGGTCGTCTCGTGGCGTGGTTGGTCATGAATTCGAGAGACGCGGCGGTCGATCGGTCACTCGGTTCATCGCCTGTTCTGTTACTTACGTGATACACAGCTATCGATATCCGGTGGGATCGATCGTGCGCGCATCGAAGGTCATATATCTACGAGAGGTCGAGACGGTTCGGCCAGCCTTTCCCCAGCCGCGTCGTGTTAGGTCAGCGAGAAGCCATCGTCGTAACGTTCCTCTCTCGGTTCCCTCGCGCACGTTCCCATTCCTGCACACTTTAAGCAACCTTTCTTTAACAACGTGCACCCCTAACCTCTTCGCGGTTCGCCTCGTTCCACGCACAGTCGGCGTCAGCGTCGGCAGCGGCATCTATACACCATCGCGCGTCTTTCGCTGCTACCGTTCTCCGTCGCGTTTACGCTCGATTCGACGGCGACGACCGCCGAGTCGCGGCACGATTCTCACTTCCGGTTCGAAATTTCGTCGAAAGCTACTTCGCCAATCACCACACGCCGATCCTACTCTTTTCCCTTTTCCTTTCCTCTCTTTCTTCCTTTTCTCCATTTTTCCTCAAACTCTCTCTCTCTCTCTCTCTCTCTCTCTCTTTCTCGCGAGGAGGAGAGAAAGACAGAAAGAGAAGGAGAGGGTGAGAGAGATTCGGACGCATTGGATCGAAAGTCAAGGCAAACGCGCGGGCGTACATCGTTGGCGCGATTATGCAACCACTGGTCCCGGAATCGGGGGAATATCGGGGGAATATCGGAGGAATATCGGGGGTATATCGACGGAATATCGGCGAGCGAAAGAGGACGACGAATCCGAGAGCCGCTACGCGCGCACTCTGCAGCGCGAATGGTTTTCAGTGGCGGTCCGAGCCGACTGCTTCGCGCGCGCGCGCGCGCGGCGCAAATAGACCGGCAGATAATGCAGATAAACTAAGAATAGAGCGTTTAAAACTCGTAAATGGAGCGTAACGCGCCTCGTTCGCGTTTCTTCCACTGACTTTCGATCGCGATCGGGATCGTTGTTCAATTCGCGACCGATCGAGCAAACGACGAGGTGCGCGACGAGCGAAGAGCCATTCGAACTCACCTATTATGCTTTCGGAGGCGTCGCAACGATCGATCGACGAAATCGAAGCCAGCACGGCCGCAACTAGGATCAACGGTCTCGATGACAATCGCTGCGTCCTCATCTTCCCCTTCGTTTGCGTCCTCGGCCTCGCCGCCGCCGCCGATCACGACGATTTTTACTAGAAAAGAGAAAGCAAATTTCGATCCTCTCTGCACCGAGGACACATGAGGCGAAAGGGGGAGGGAGGGGGGGGGGGGGGGGGGGGGTAGAGAGAGAGAGAGAGAGAGAGAGAGGGAGAGAGAGAAAGAGAGAGAGAGAAAGGAGAGCCGTTACGGAAGAAACCGGTGAATTCGCGAGAAAAAGCGACCGAGTGGTAGCATACGCGCGCTCGCGCGAATTCGGATCAAGGCTGTGGACAGCCCGCCGCGTGTGGGGCCGAACGCGCCGAGTCGCGTGTCGCTTCGAACCGAGAGAAAGAGAAAGAAAGGAACCGCGTGGATCTCCTCGATAACGTTCGCGAACGCGTCCATTCGACCAATGATTGTTGTCGTAACCTTCCGGCCGTTGGTATATTTGCGCTAGACCTCCGTATATTTTCACGAGTCACGCGCGCAACCTACGGAATCTTTCTTCGGAAATCCGTGTAACAGCCGGTTCGCAGTGGTTCCGAGAAACGCGCAGTTACGGCCGACCATGGCGGCGTCGTCCACCGTCTCTCCGCGTCCTTTCGCCCCGATCCACGCGTGCGCACCGTCGTCGCGAGGGTTGATGCGCCGAACGCGCCGATTCTCCTGCGCCACCGTTATCGCGCGCATGCGCCCCGCCTCTTCTCGCTTCCACCATTCGAGATGCTGCCCTTTCTTCGTCCGGGGGCGATTATTCCCGACCGAGATTTGCATAGAATCTCGACGCGTTCTCCTACGGCTGGAAAAAATGCGGCCAAACCTACGACACGGCGTCCACGGCTTAGAAAGTCGAGCGAAATTTTCGACGCGCTTCTTTCGTCCTTCCACTTCTTTCCCTCCCTCTCACCTCTCTCATACTCTCACTCACTCACTTACTCACCCACACACACTCTCTCTCTCTCTCTCTCGCGTGCGCACACGCGGAGTCCTAATGGACGAGACGAGTTTCGTTCATCCGCGATTAGGACGGTCCGGGTTTCGCGTTCGCGAAGATAGGCGGCCACCGTCGGTTTTTCGGGCTACCGCAATCCCTGGAAGGGTATTATCTCGCGTAGCCTTATTAGTTCGTCCCGTTGGCGAACGGCGGCGACACGTGCACACACGCGCAGGCGCATGGACCAACCACCGGATACGTTGGGCGAGCATCGCGCGATTCTTTTTCGATCGTTCCTCTGTGGAGCCCCAGGGACACCCGACTGGAATCGCGCGAAAAGTTATTTCGATTGATCGCGTTACGTAAACGGCCGTTTCCTCGAGGCGAACCTTCCCCGACGACGAGTTTCTCGCGAAAAAGCGATCATCGCCCGCGAATCGTCCCCCTACTCCGTATTTTTTTCTCTGCGTTCCCTCAGCGAAAATCGAAAACGGTTCGCGTTGGACATCGGCGCGATCGATCGGTTTCTATTTACCTCGTTTTTCCTCCTCGACGATCCTCGGGCTCCGCGAGACTCGGCGATGCCAGCGGTACCCATCGGTCGGGAATTCGAACGCGGAATCGTCTTTGCGTAAACGCGGTCGAGCCTCGAGCACAGCCAGAGAAAGAGAGACGGAGAGGGAAGGACGAGCGACGGAGCGAGAGGAAATCGGGAGGCGAAAGAAACGATCGCGCGACGAAGAAGGAGAAAGGAAAAAGGAGAGGGAA